AAAAAAAAAAAAAATAAAAAAATAAACACATCATGGTAAAATTAATACCTTCTCAGCTTCGCATCGAAGCTAATACTAAATTGGTTAATTTCAATACAAATAGCTACCATAGAACCGAGAAAAAAAATTTTATATAAATATTTCCGTTTATTTAAAATTAAATAATTTACCAAAAAATATATTTAAAAATACATATGTTAAAAAACATACTTAAAAGATTGTGTTAAAATACAGACACATATGTCATCATTTATTATAGTCAGAGTCTCTTTATTAAGTTTTTTTTAAAAATTTTAATTATTTTTATAAATACAGATAGCATTTTCTATAAACATTGCATTACTAACTTATCATTAAAATTTGATAAAATAAACGTTTAGTTACTTTTCGCAAGATACTATGAAACACTATTGAAATATTTTTCACGTTGTTTAAAAATAACATGATTACCATATTAATATACTTAATCCAGTATTATTATACTTTAAGAGGGAAATAACCAGTGTGGAATTTTAACCATAAATTCTAGATTTATATTTTACCAACTGAATTCATTCGGCATATGACGGCAGAAAGTTACAATTCAACAAGTTTATTAATGATTTGAACTAAAAATAGTTCATGCATTTGCTAAAGATATTATAATTTGATATAGTTGTTCTGTCAATAGTTTCTCCACTTAGTACAAGCCATAAGGATTCAAAATTTCGTTATGGTGTAGACAGTTATAGACAGTGACAGATTTTTAGAAAAAAATTTTAAAAAAGAATTTTGATCGCCTCTTTACATTGATATGCAGAGTGAGTTTTTTAACTTAACCCATGATACGTTTCCGCGTCACATCGTATTACATAGAGCCCCGCGACCTCTGCCTCTTTATCAGCCATCGTCTTACTATATGATATGGTAGTTTGACTGACCAACACCGCGTCACATTCGACTCGGTGTAAAGCCCGCCGCAAATATACGTTGAGTCTTTTTCATGTCATCGAAGTGATGGTGTGGAGAATGGACGCCATCAGCTTCGGACGTATCTAATGACTGGATACGACGAACTACACCAGCACACCGTCGCCATCAACGGTGCTTTCTTTTGACGTTCGATAACCATGACGGACACTGCGTTATCGACATCAGCGAAAAAATGAACACTTTTATTAGAAAGTGGAGGAATATTAAGCAAATCATTATACGTTTCGGTATGGATATATTTGTACCAGATACTGTCGTAGTCGTATCGCACTTCCGGTGTTATAGCTGTATGGCACTCGCGGCACTTCCTTTTCACGTCCGCGTGTCACACCATGCGGGGTGGCTAACGGGCAATGTGAACCAATCACGCTGACGCCGACTTTACGATCTCTCGTTCTGGTTGATATTTTTGTCACGAAGATCTCAACTTACATATTGAACTTGAAATCAACACTTGTGAACTTTGTATTGTAATAAAAATAAAAATAAGAGGGGAGGCGATAAGATAGAGATAGTAGGAAAGGGATTATAAGTTATTTGAATTGTATTAGATTCATTCATATCATCTTAATCCTACCTCTTATCCACTCTGTCCTATTTCTTAATATTACATGAATATAGTGCATGTCTTAAGACTACACTTACCTTGATGTCCAAATGGATTCGTAGATAGATGGTGAATTGTGATGTTCCTTGTTGATGTCGATATTTTAAGTTAATTTAAATAAATAAAAATACAGATATGAGGGGCAACATACTGAGTTTATTTCTATAACTTGTATTAATTATTTTGACAAATATATATAAGTCTTATAATTAAAATTAACAAAAGTAACGTGAATTTTACATTATTAACTTTTAATATGAAAGTGTAAGATTATGGGGGAATAATAAGTGAAAATGAAAGTGAGAGTATGCGAGAGAGATAAAATGGAAAGAGAGTGTCTGTGCTAATTTTACTAGCCCTTTTATATTAAATTAGTTGGTAAGGTAATGAAGGGAGGCTAGTTNAAATAAATAACTATAAGAACTAAGATGACAGCAAAGGCACCAATTTCACCACTGGGCGATTTATCCATCCATTGATGGTTTTCAACTGGACGACCCGCACCACACCATCATCACCGGGAAATACCCTTTCAACGCGACCGAGATGCCATCTTAACGGAGGTGCATGATCTTCCTTAATGATCACTAAATCACCGACCTTCAAATTTCGATCCCCTCTAGTCCATCGGCTCCGAATTTGAAGACAATTCAAATACTCAACGGTCCATCTTTTCCAAAATGCTTGATGGCATTGCTTGAGCAACTTCCATCGTTGAGTGATCGTGCGTTGAGTTTCAGGGACTAACTCCTCTGGTGGAGCTAAAAGTGGTTGACCTATGAGAAAATGACCAGGAGTTAAACACGTTGTGTCGTTTGGGTCATCACTCATTGGGGTCAGCGGTCTCGAGTTTAACACAGCCTCAACGCGGGTAATAATAGTGACGAACTCTTCCAGAGTGAACAAGTGCGATCCCATAGTCCGATATAGAAGTGCCTTCATAGATTTCACCGCGGCTTCCCAAAGGCCTCCAAAGTGAGGGGCACTTGGGGGATTAAAGTTCCACATACAAGGTATGGCAGCACTCCAATTATTACGAATGTCGGAGTTGTTTACAAACTGGCGCAACATTCTATCTGCTCCAACAAAATTGGTTCCGCAGTCCGAATAGATTTGTGATGGTAGTCCCCTTCTACTAACGAAACGGTCTAATGTCGCTAAGAATGCGGGGGTGAATAGATCCGACACTACTTCCAAATGGACCATTTCTTCAACTCTAAACCACTCTTTGCCAACACATGAACTAAGGCGTCACGTAGACGTTTAGCTTCTTCCAAGGTTTGAGCTCCTGTACAGATGTCATCCATATAAGTGGAGCTTTGCAAAGCTCTACTTATATCAGGCTCTTCATCCTGTACCTCCATCGCTATCTCCTTGAGAACTCTTAAAGCTAAATAAGGGGCGCAGTTTAATCCATAAGTGACAGTATTTAATTCATATTCTTTTAATTCTTCCTTAGGGGAAGAACGCCACAAAATATGTTGTAGAGGCCGATATTTTTTATGGATCCAGAACTGTCTGTACATTTTACAAATGTCGGCCGTAAAAACAACTCGATAAGAACGGAACCCGATCAACACGTCTACTACATCTTGCTGGAGCTTTGGTCCTGGATACAGAAGATCATTGAGTGATTTACCGGATACACCACGAGCCGACCCATCGAATACGACACGCAATTTCAACNGTGGGTGGGTAGGTGAAGGGGTGAGGCGGGGGGGGCCTAGAATCCCCTAAATTACCCTACTTATGTAGTCTAAAATTATATTTAGTTCTAAGATATATTTTAAAAGAAATCTTAATTTAAAAATGGTTTTGATTAAATAATACTTAAGGAGAGTGTATATTTTTTTATACGTGACAAAGTCTAACTAATCACCATACTTAAACTAGTGTTTCGTGTCAATTGAAATATTTTAATCAGAAATATTTGAGGAACTGTATTTAGTTGAGCTATTGTATAGATTTAAGAAATTGTTATACCCGGAGTTATCTCNTCCGCCCGGTCCACTTCATTTTGAAAAATATCTTCACAGTGTCCTTCATCTGTAAATTGCATTGGAGCCTCCTCCGGTTCCTCTATTGCCCAGAACCTTCCCATAAATTGCTCCAAGGATACATGAAAGCAAGATACCATTGAAAGCTGTTGGTCTGCTGGTGTAATTGTAGAGCGATCTTCTCCTATAAGAACCCAACCAAACACCGAGCCGAATGCTGTTGGCATCCTTTCGTTAACCACAACACGTTTACCATCCATGACTGCAGGGAATAAATCTGCTCCGATTAACATATCCACGGGACCGGGCTTATAAAACTGAGGATCGGCTAATGCTAAATGCNTAGTCTATGGAAGTTTCTAGTGTTTTACTGCAGTTCCATACAATAACTACAGGCCAAGAATTATTTAAATTAGATGTGTAAGCCATGACTGTTGGTTGATTTAATGTGTTATATTTAGTTTTTATATTTCTTTTTAATTGCTGAATTATGTGGTGTGGTCTCGATATATTTTCTCGAATTTTTTTTATGCATAAATGTAATCTGTTATGTTTTAGTGAATTTATTTGTAATGTTAAAAGCTGCGGTTTACCTTTCAATTTGTAAATATTACATGGTCCTTGGAATATATTAGTTATTGCTCCTCCGATGAGCACTTTTCCAAGTTCGTGTAAGTTAACCATAGTTAGGTCAATTAAAAAAAATTCGTATGATAAAGAGGTAGCCATTATGAATTGGGGTGATAATTTTAATTAGAATAGAAATGAATAAGAGTAATAGAAAAAAAATTGCACGAAACAAAGAGAAGAATAGAACTGGTTAGTATATTTATGTATTAATAGNGAAGGTAGTTCTGTAGCAAGCCGATGCAGCAGCGAATGATGACGAAAAGAACATTTATTACATTTAGCAGCTTTACATTTCAAGGCTAAATATTGACTAGAAAGACAGATAAAACANAAAAAAATGATTAGAATTATCTAATTATAAGAAAGTTTTACCTGTATCGTATTGTGATGTGTCTTTCTAGAGCTAGTGTTCGCTTTGATGGTGTCTATAAGACTAAGGATTCAATATGTATTGGAAAATTGGGCAGCTAGTGTTTTTTTATATATGGCTCCCCCTTTTGTATAGATTTAGGTTGTGTAAATATCGAGAAGGATTTTTTTNGTTTGGCGAGCAATAAGAGCAGTTTTGGATGTGAATGATTGCTTATTGTAATTAAATTTGCCATATTTGTATTTATTGTCCGTATTTTTATTATCTGCTGTTTGAATTCCCACGTTTTCCAGGATTCTTGCTCGTTCCTTCACAAATGTAATTAAGTCCTCGACCGATGGATNAGCCTATTTAATATACATGTTGTTATTCTTACATTGTTTTTTGGGTTGTGAATTTTTCCTAAATGTGTATTAGCGCATAACAAGTTGTGTGTTAGATGTAATGTTAATTTTTTTTGTTTATTAAAAACATCAGATATTTCAGTAATTGCTACCAACGTGGTTTTATCTAGAGAGAATATTTCTAATATTCGGTAAAAATTTCCGTCATTAAAGGAGTCTACACATTTGAGATTTAAGATAAGTTTCTTTGGGGCTAATATTTGAAGAGTATAATATTTTGCTTCAGTGCAGTCCCAAAGTATAATTGCTTGTGTAGTTTTCGGAACATTAATATGTTTCAATATAGAAGATTTATTTATTCATTGATGCTTTATATTTATATTGTTTTGTAATTGTTTAATAATGGCACCTTTTGATGAATTATTGTTTGGAATAGTTTCTACGATTTTCTTTTAGCTTCGATGCGAAGCTGAGAAGGTATTGGTTTTACTAAGATGTGTGTTTTTTTTTTTTTTTTTTTTTTTTTTTTTTTTTTTTTTT